TACTGGGCCCCGCGGGCGGCCTGGGGCAGGGGCGCTACCCAGAACCCAGGAGGCACCCCTAGCGCCCCTTGTCCTCAGAGGTCTCCCCTCTCCTCAAACCAGGACCCCACTCCCGTGCCTGCAGAAGGGCCTCTGCCTGGCACGGGCACTCAGTTCTCAGGGTGGGGGGTGAAAATGCGGCTCCCAGGCCGTGATGGTGGCTGGGGAGGAGTCCTGGTGCAGGACACGGTCCCGCCTGTCCCTCCCTACCCACTCGCCAAGGCCCAACCACTGGCTGTGCACAGGGCCGCTCGTGTGCAGAAGTGGCGCCTCCCCAGCGGGCCTCCCTCGCCAGAGCCCGTTTTCCAGCTCTGAGCCCCTGCCTGGCTGCACAGGGCATGGGTTCTGGGGGCTCAGTGGCTGCTGTTGCCACCCCTCTGGGGGGGCATTTACCCAGCACCCACTACACACAACCAACTGCCAGGCAGAGGTGGGTCTGAACCCGCCCTGCCTCCACCAGGGGCAACCTCCATGTGCATGGGCTAGCGTCCCCTCATGGGAGCCAAGGGCAGGGTGGACCCAAGCCATCGCTGGTGCTTCCTGCTCCTTGGTTTCCTGGCTGTGACACCACGGGCTTCCTCCCCACTTCAGCCTCCTCAGAGAGTTCTAGAACAGGTGGGATATTTTCCCCTTGCCTAGAAGCCTCGGCGTCTCGACTGCCTGACCAAGACCAACCCCTTGGCCATCACAACCCGGCTCCAAGGCCTCTTCACCTCCCCGTTCCTGACTGCCATTTGCACTGGGCCTGGCCCTCCCTCCTGACGGCCATACACCTCCTCTTCTTGTGAGCTCCTTCTCAGGATTTTGAGAACCCTGTTCCCCAGAGAGCCATCAAACACATGTGCCACATGGCACAGCAGGTGGCCCTGGAACAGGCAATCCCTGAGAGCCGGGCCCAGGTCTTGGCCAAGCAGCAAGAGGCCCCATGCAGAGGCTGAGGGCGAAAGAGGAGCCAGCTGTACCTGAGGCCCGTGACAGCCACCGAGTCACACCCACCTGGAGGGCTCATGAGACGCAGGAACCCTGGAACAAGCTGCAGACATGTGGTCAGGCTACCCCCTCCCCCTGCACTGCTGTCTCTCAGGGTTCTGAGAGCAAGGTGGTGCAGTGCTTGGTCGAGGCAGCCTAGTGACCAGACTGGAAGGGTCTGCCACTAAGACCCGGAGCTGCTTGGACCCACCTCTGTTCCTGGCTTGGCTCTAAATACCCTTTTCAGCCTAAGCTCTGGGTCCCTGTTTACCCTCAGAGCCCCACTTGGAGAGGGGTATGCTGGACCACGCTGTCACAGGCCACCAAGAGCACAGGGTCTGAGGGTGCCGGACGTCTAAGCTGGCTTCTGCAGTGACCCTCGCTTCCAGAGGCAGGCAGTGGGCTGCTCAACCCCAGACCCCAGCCGGGACAGAGACCACTTGTCCACCCACGGAATTCACACCACTCAATAACTCAGGCCACCAGTCTGCTCAGAGAAGGGCGGGGGACAGTGGTCAGTGTGGCTACCAGCTGCTGCAGGCCCGGCTCAGTGGGCGCCGGGGTCTGGGGGGTTACAGGGAGAGGTACTGGGGACCCTAAGCCACAAGCTTCAGCCTGGCTGATGTGAAGCTGTGAACCCCCTGCCTCCAGAGCAGCCAAGAGCG